CCAAGATGCTGCCGGGTTCCTCTTGAAGTCCACCTCCTTGAGATGCCCAGCTGCCCACTCCACAAAAGCCTGGCCAGCAATGCGTCTGCCATACCACTCTGCTTTAACCCAGACCACACGATCAGGTAGATCGACTCCGCTGTCTGCCATCTTCTTCAACCACTCCTTGGGAGGCTTCATGTAGGCCTCTTCTGCAATTGGCACCTGCCAGAAGGCGTTCTCGGTGTCTGCCGTCAGGAAGCAGTAGCCCATCCAAATGCCCACAATGTCGATGACCCTTGACGTTGGGGTACTGGATGCCACCGCAAACACATCAGTACGAGGATCACCCCGCTTGAACTCTCTCACACAGTACCTGCACCTCACCGAGCCGTCAGGCTTGCGGGTCCTGACCCATACGGCATCCAGGATCTTCATTTCATGCCATTCTTCTGCTCCACAGGGTCGTAGGTCTGGTACTTGTCCATCTTGCGGAATTCTTCTGCATCTCCTTCATCCATCTCTTCTTTGGTCAATGGCTTGCTCTCCTCATTGTCTGAGTCCTCATAGGCCTGGTCTACGTCATCCTCGCACACGATGGTGTCTTCTGTTGGTGAATACAGAGCACGCACAAAGGTTCCAGCCACGCGAGCTCTCTTGGCATCTGGGGTCATCTCTCCAGATTCTCCAGCCCATGCCCGTCTTGCTGACATGCTCAAATCCATTGGTGCTGTCTCACCGCCGCCCACATCAACCGTAGGTCTCGATGCCGACGAAGGACCTGATTGCACAGGAAAGTCTCCCTCGTCCTCCTCTTGGATGACCTCCCCACTCGGCTCCAGCCTGGGGCTCTTGTTGGCCGTCTCTTCAGTCGGGATCAGGTTTGGTGTTGGAGGCAAAGCGATGTCAGCCTTCCTCTTTGGCCTGCCAATGGTTGTGCCCATGTCCCATGGCACTCCAATCATCTTCTCCATCAGCTCCCGGTTGTAGCGCCTGCTGCTGTCAGCCAATCTGCGCACACTCCTGGCCGTCACTGTCCCATCTTCTGTTCCCAGCAAGTACTCGTTACTGGTCACACTTCTCCCAAGGAAGATGCCCTGACGCCATGCTGTCTCCCCTTTGGGCATCACTGCCCTGTTGTGGGATCTCCTGGCCTTACTCATGGGGATCTTGAAGAGCACCGTCTCGCCAAAGGGCAGCAGCTGTGAAGTGTATGCCGTGTCGAGGGCATCCTAAGCCTGCTGTCGGGCAGAGTTCCTTTCGACATAGTCCCGTGCCCGTGCCCTCCTGATCGACAAAGCTCTCTCTGCCGCCTGAATCCTCTTCCACAAAGTGTGCTTGTCACCATAGATTGGTTCCTTGAGCTCTCGAAGTCTTGCTCCACCTTACTCCATCCATGTAGTCGTGGTCGGTCAGCTCGAGCGTGTGCTTCATCCTCCGCAAACTCTGCTGGGATGGAGACCATCAATCCCCTCTCCCTCGTCTTCAATGCCCGCATACTCCCACTCATACTCTTCTCCCTGTCCAGCCACTGGTGCCACCATCACGCCAGTGCCCAGGTCGATGTCCATGATCGTCTCGTCATCCCGCACCTTGAGGTAGTAGGAGTTGCAATGGAGGTAATTACAGAGGAATCTTGAAGTCGAGCTTGGGATGCGTCAGGAATGGCTTCATTGGATTCCTCATGTCTGCTGCAAAGCCGTTCCTGCTCATCTTCCCAGCACTCAGGACGTCTTTGCTCGCTTGATCACTGACCTTGAACTCCGTGACCGCATTCAGGAAGTTGTTGTCCTCCCCAATGATCTTGTAGTTCACCTTCTTCTTGCCGAGGAGTCCAAGGCACTGTCCCGAAATGCCCATCAGCTTGGCCTCACTCTCCTCGGTGTGGTAGTCGCCACCAAAGCTGGGCCGGCACAGATGCTCATCACCGCCGGAATCCCGTAGTAGATACCTGATTTTCCTGTCAGGTGGCTGGGATGTCAGCAAATGCCAGTCGGATGGCTGCTTGCTCCGGTGGATCATCATCACCCACATCTCATCTGAGTACTCGTCCTCAATCTCAAACACATCCTCAGCATCTGCCCAATCCACCCGCTCACCATCACCGGGCAACCAGTAGTACACTGCATTCGTGCTCTGCCCACCTGCCGGGGAACTGGATCCAGTTGCCGAAGATGATGCCGCTGTGATAGCATTTAGTATAGCATTTGTGCTGTTGCCTTTTCCTTTCCCTTCACGTTTGGCCTTCTCCTTGGACAGCAGACGACAATCTGCCTTCTTGTGCCCCCATTTGCCACAGTAGGAGCACTCACCATTGAATTTCTTCGGAGGTGGTGGCTTTCCCTTCTTGTCAAACTTGCCACCTTTGTTGACTCCTTTCTCATTCTTGGACTTGCCACCCTTCTTGCCCTTGTCATAGGACACCGCACCGACATCCATAGGTGCTGTTCCACCATCATCCTTGCCCAACTCGCCCTTGGCGTTGTAGTATTGCCCTGCTTGCAGGAAGTCTCGAACAAACTTCTTGGCTCGCTCGTATTTCGTCCCAACCTGAGCTCCAGCAGTCCTCAGGGCTGACCTCAATGACATGGGTGCATGCTTCATGAGGACCGCAATCTTGGTGGAGTCCGAGACGTGCTCCTTGACCTGGATCTCGTAGCGCCTTGTCAGCACTTCCCAACTCTCGAGGGACTCCAGGAAGTCGTTCTCCTTGACTGACTCCCAAGCTGGGGCGATGATGCTCATCAACATGGCCGTATGCCTTCCCCCAACATCAGGCTCATAGGCCTCGCAAAGCGCTTTCCAAGCCTGGAAGCCGTTGCCGCTCTCCACATTCATCAACACTTCTAGGGCCCTGCCATCAACGCTCTGGGTGAGGAGGTTGAACAGGACAATGGCTTTCTCCTGGGCGTGTTGCATTCTCTGCAGCCTGGATGAGGGGCTAGTAGCTCGTGTCCAGCAGATTCAGGTACCCTCTTGCCACAAATACCCAAGCTGCCCACTCTTCTTCTTTTCCTGAGAAACTCTTCAGCTTGCCAATGGCCCGGGCGTCGATGAGGCCACTGGCTCCGACCTGCTGAGCTGGGAGGGCTGGCTGTGCTTGCTGCTGCTGCTGAGCTTGTTGAGGTAGAAGACCTGCTTCAGCTGCCGCCGCCAGGGAGTCACCGAGGCTAAAAGCTCCTGGCACGTTCAAGGGTGCAGCATTCGAAGCCATGAGCGCTGCGTGACACCTCCTATCGAGGAGGAATTACACCGCGCCCACACCACCAGGCGGATTTATAGGGCGTCCACCTCGCAGGCGCCCACGCGCGGGTCTTACCCTGTCACTGTCTTACAGGGGACCCGGAGCAGGAGCTCACACTGCTCCGCTACCATGCAAGCGGGTAGCGCGCTATTTTCAGCCAGAAAGGGCTTCAGGAGATGGTCGTATGACATGCTATACGAGACATACATAAAGACCTGCATAAACACATTTTATAAACATTTTCACCTCCCAAAGCCCATCGTATTTGTGCACACCCTCCCAGGGAAAGGATGGTAAACCCATTTTAAGGAAATTTACTGCTATTCAGGAGTAATTTAAAGCCATTCAGGTTGAGATGTTGGAGTCAAACATGAGTGAAGTTTCTCGGAGCCTCATGAACACAACCCTCTATGGTGGACGGTGGGAGGAGTGCGGCCAATGGCTGCATGCAGGATCACATTTCTTCCACTCGCGATCGTCCGACGTTGGGGTTCAAAATTCAGGCTCTTTTCGATGGCCTTCAAAGCACGGAGGCTCATGTCATCTCATGACAATGGCCTACAAAATGCGGAGCACTTGGCCCGGGCTCAAATCAACATCGGATCTCAGAAAATACAATGGTTTTCCTCGCAATTGGCAGGGAAGTTCAGGGAAGCACGCAGTGAAAAGAAGAGATAGGAATGCATAATAGGCAATTCACTTATCATTCACTGTAAACTTAAAGCCGCCAAGTTTCTTGGTGAAATCTCCTTGGCTTACTTCATTGTAGAGATAAGACAGTTGCTGAACATTGACGTGATTCCTATTCTTATCGGTGGTATGAATCACATGTTTCTAACATGAATCACAACTCCTAGTTCCAAGGTTCTCCACTTGCCTCGTTGAAAGCCACGCGCCAAACCTTCACAAGAGATCGGCTGGCCTCAAGTTCCTTAGATTGGGTTCCAACTCCAACCAGTAGGTGATACGTGTTTTCATCTCCACATTTTGTTGCAGCCATGCCGAATGGACCCGAATGGCATGGCAGTGACGAGGAGCCTTGACGGAGAACGCGGACGCACAATTCGTGTATTTAAAGTTCCTGGTGACCAAGGTGTGCTGGTAGTACATAATCACAGGCTTCGGGCGGATCTGGTAGACTGGTGGGCCTCCCAACAGCTTGACGAATAGCTTCTTAGCGCTGACGTACCTTGACATGGCATAGTAGTTTCCACTGACCCTACCATTGCCTGTTGCACTGTCGCGGACGGTGGAATGCACGATATCGTGACAATTCATGCTGTAGTCGGTAACGCCGCTGTCTTCGAGTTCTTGAAACAACTGGTTCGAACTGCACCTTTGGCTGTCCGAAGTGCTTTTTGAATTTGCATCTGGCACCTCCAAAACCACATGACATGAGTCCGTGGTCCATTCCACTCCGAAAACCCGTGAAAGCTCACCTGGCAGAAGGAACTGGTCAGCATGTGGCAAGAAAAGTGAAACTAAGTGTGAAAGAAAAGAACTTGCAAGCTCTCGGAGTAAAAGTGTTTTGCACCATCCTGATCCCGAGGTAACTAATTTGATCTATGGTGCCAGGGTAAAGACACCCGGCCCCCTGAGGCATCTTGCCCGGCGTTTGAAACATGTCTAGTCATGGCACCCTCAAACAAAGAACACTTCTTGGTCAGTAGTCATTCAAATGCAATTCATTGCTATAACTATTGACATGGAAAAGGGAGAACAATCTCATGACTCGTGGCTCATAACAGAGGTGGCGAATGCCATGTACACCCCCAATCTACTCGCAGTCACCCTTCGCGACTGCCTCCTGAGAAACGCTTCCCCCAGCGGCACTTGACTGGGATTTGTGAGTAGGAACCAACCTACGACGAACTAGCTCACTATGGGTCAGGTTCTTCATGCTGTTGACTCGCTCCGGGTGGTTCTTCCACCTTGGAACGGCGGTACAGTATAGGATCCCAAACTCAGATGTAACAGATGAACTGAACAGAACAGAACCATTGACTTGGGAAAGAACTCTTCACGCGCCATCTTCAGAACTTCCTTCTTGCTTAGGTCTGGCTTCTCACTCTGCAAACGGCTTTGGGCTTCAGCAATGTGCTTCCAAAACACATCTCTAAGGCCGGCCCGGCCAAGAGCACCACCTTTCCCCTGGCCAAATGAAGGATTAGTGGGACAGCCATTTCACCACATCGGGCAACTAAACAACATTGACATGGACAACTAAACGGACGACGTCGGACAACTAAACGACAACCAAAACATCGGACAACTAACAAAGTCATGTGTTTATGCGTTTATTCAATTCTATGCGCCGAAACTCGTGCGCCTTTCCCAGATGGACATCACCATGCTCCTCCTCCTTGTCTTCACCGTTGGCTGAGGTTTCCTCACGCTCTTTGCTATCATTTGCCTGATCCTCATTCTTTCGTGCCTTTTTCGCGCGACTGGCTTTTGGCTTTGCCCCATTCTGTGCTGTCTCCGCACCCTGACATCCATCTTCCCTCTTTGCTTGCTTGTGTTTCCTCTCTTTTCCTTGCCCTTCCCTTTGATTTTGCCCGGCCTTTGCTGCAAGCTTTGCAGCCTCATTTGCGTCCTGGTCTTCTGCATCATTCTTTCCAGCCTCACTTGGCTTCTTGTTCATTGAATCCTGCTTTGCGGTCTCGCTTTCCTTGCTTTCTGCATCATTCTGTCCAGCCTCACTTGCACTTGCGTCCTTGTTTTCTGCATTCTTTCCAGCCTCACTTGCACTTGCGTTCTTGTTCTTTGCATTGTTCTTTCCACTCTCACTTGCCTCCTTGTTTGCTGGATCCTTGTTACCAGCCTCACTTGTGTTTTTGGCCTGCTTCAGCACCTTTGCTGGTCTCCCCCTTTGCTTCCTCTGATCTTTGGCAGCAACCTTGCTGTCCTCATTCTGCTCCTCATTTTCCTTCATCTCTTCCTCCACAAACTGGACGGCCCGTTTTGAACCTCTAGTTGCTCCATCAGTCTTACCTGGTTTCTTCTTCTCATCTGTGATCAGCCCAAAAGCCCTCGCTCTCATTTGCGCTGGATCCTCAGGAATGTGCTCCTGGTTCTTGTTCTTTGGCTCCTTTGCCTTCTTCTCCTGATCTTTGTTGGTCGACACAATTTTCTTCAGAGCCGGTTTGCGTGTTTTCTGCTTCTGTTCATCCTGTGGCTTCTCCAACGCCGATGCCTTTGTTTGGTCTTCTTTCTCTTCTTCTGATGGAGGCGGAAGATCTTCATAATCCTCAGACAACGGCTCTTCGCTGTCCAGTTCATTGTCCTTTTTCTCCTCGGCAGCCGGCTTTTGCTTCTTCTTTGCTTCGGCCTTTGCCTTTCCTTTCGCTTTAGCTTTAGCTTTCCCAGCTGCTTTTGCCGTGGCTTTCTTTTGTTGTTTTGCTTCAACCTTTGCTTCTTCCAAAGAAGCTTGAAGCTTTTGTAGCCTCTCTGCACTCATGTTTGGGTTGTTTGCACCAGTGCATGCAGCAACTGTCATGGGCACCTTGGGCAATTCTACCTTGACTTCTGCTTCCTTTCCCTCTTCTTGTTTGGGCAAGTTGCACGCCTTCCCTTCTGCCTTGACTTCTGCTTCCTTTTCCTCGTCTTTTTTTCATCCTTTTCCTCGTTTTTTTTCATCCTTTTCCTCGTCTTTTTTTCATCTTCCTCTTCCTCTTCTTCTTCTGAATATTGTTCCACACCTGTCTTTGGTTCGTCTTTGCTTGCGTCGACCCCCAGAGTTGTGCCACCACCTGTCTTCTTGTCAGCGTCATCCTTGTTGTCAGTGATATTCATGGACTCTGTCACGACAGATTCCTGAGTCTCTGATTCTTGAGTCTCCTGGGTGTCGTTTTGCATCATCTTACACGGAACCAAACCACTCTCCACGCTTCTTGAAGCTGGGTCTGAAGTCTTGGAGCCTGTGGTTGGGCTTCGGAAGGCCTTGGCCGCTGAGAAATTGACAGGCTTTAATAGTTGTACTTAACTGAGGGCCTAGCCATTCGAGTAGGGGGTGTTTCAGCAGTGCCCGGGCTTTTAGCCAGTAGTTGATCAAAATCCTTTCAGAAGTGCGAGGACATGTAACTGACCAGCTAGCGCTAGCTAGCAGACTAGCACATACACACATCAAACCACTGTCCTTGCCAAATCCATGAGATGCCAAAAGCTTCTCTAGGGGCGAAGACATTCCGACTTGATTTTTGGTCTACAAACTCGTGCCTTTTTTTGAGCCAGTTGCTTCTCTGTACTAAGTGAATGAATTGAAGGTGACAGCTTCAACAAAACGGAGTAGAAGTGATTGACAGCTATCAAAGCGTGGCAGGAGTGCTGGTTCTCTCCTCCCGTTTCCAAGTTTGAACCTTCTGTGCGTTGACAAACTTTGAACCGCCATGCGCTATCTGGTATTCCAAAGTGGTCAGCTGGACCGCGCTATGAGCAACCTCATGTAAGAGATGGAGAGGGAATGAAAAGGGTGAAGCTTGAATCTTTTTCAAGTCGTGTTTCAGTTGTCCATGGAGTCTTATTCAGACCTGCCAGGTAACAAGAAATAGCTTAAACCGTTGTCCTTCTTCTGCTTGATGAATTTGGCCAGCCCTGTCTTTGGCGTGTGTCAAGTACAAAGTCGTACTTGGAGACCTTCCTGCGAACTTCGACTCGATGATGTATTTGTCGACGAGTTCTTCCAGTGTTTGTGGCCCGTCCCACGGCTGAACGGCTGCAGGAGTCTCTTCGACCGACGGCACCAGTGCAAGTCTTGGTTCTTCACGAGGCGCTCCACGGCCAAACCTTGGCGATGGAGATGGAGTGAAAGGGGATCACTGAAGGGTTGGGATTTGGGTATGAACCATTTGAACCATCGTGTGGGTGTCAACCTACTTTTGATCTTTTAGTGCAAAGAGACTTCTTGTCAAAGTCTTCCATCAGGTTCTGCCACTCGGTTGAGTATACTGCGTCGTCGATGTAGCGAGCTCTGATGTTTGGTGGTATGGTGATTCGATATTTCTCGACTCCTTTCAACTTCGAATCCATGTTGTATTCCACTTTGACCAACTGTAGGGGGAAGTTGGCCAAGTCAACATCACTCTCTGGTGACACAGGGGGCTTTGGCTCATAGCGCCGCACTGCGCCCAGGGATGAGTGATTCACAGCTTTCCACTCCTAGCTACGGACAAGGCATGACAAAACAATTGAATGGGAATGAATGGTACTTTTACTGAACCTGGAGACCCATTCATTTGTTACGAAAACTGGATTTGACCCTGGATTTGAAACCATCATGTCCTCCATCAGTTCCAGGGCTAGGGATTTCTCCACAAACTCTGCCGTGGCCAGATTCTTTGCAAGGGTCAAGACTTTCATGGAAAGTTGGGGGGTCTCCCGCTCCCGCCACCGCCTGCACACCTTCTCAAGCCATCCATCGTAGCCAGTCAAATTGATCATACTCACAGACTGACATGTGTCGGGGAGTTCACTCTTCTGCAGCACGCTTTTCAACAGAATGCGAGGGAGATCTTCGCCAGCCAAGAATTGCGCAGTCTCTTGCACATCGCTTAACGACCTGTGACGCACATGAGGGTGCTTTGTTGCCTTTCAATTTAGACAGAAAACATCATGTACCCATTGCCATGGTAAAACGACAAATAGATCCAAGGGGCCTCATTCCTTCCGATGCATGTGGTACCGTATCCTTGCTGGCAACTGGAACTATGTAATTTGCTTCCGCCTGCCAGGCGACCTCGTGTCTGTTGGACCTGAAGGCAGGGTGAAAGAATCGGATGAACACTGATTGCTTTTGGTCTTCTATTCAATACTGATCTCATCCCCAAACATATGTAAAAATAAATTGATATGTTTGCTCTCCGAACTAACCAGGGCCTGTCTTGAATCAATTGGCAGCTCCTGAATATGTTCTCGTCCCGGCTGCTTTCAGCGAGAAGGACCCAACCGTCAAATTGAATTGGTACTTTGCGCTGTGATGGTGGTTGCGAGCACCGAACTGTGATTGCCTCTGACCAGATTGATTTCGCATCAAACTTGGCTTCCAGCCTCCTCACAGGTCAGTTTTCTTCTCAGAAACACACACACATATGTAGTATGAAGTTTATTGAAATTTGTACGATAATTGTTTTAAATTTTGTTCGAAAACTGTTTGGAGCAGCATAACGATCTTCTGTCCTCAGCTCACCCCTGTGACCCCCTGTTTGGGATCTTCTCAGAAGACAAAAAGGGAGACACCACGATGGCGCAGCCCATCTTGCCAGCTTTTTGCAAAGCCACTCCAATCAGGTCCACGTAGTCCGACACATCACCGCCTGTGAGGCGCCCAGCTTTCATGAGATCGACCCAAATGATTGCTGGACTTCCAGGGCTGCGCACCATGAACTGCAGGGATTCCGGGTACAACATTGCTTTCATGGTTTTAATTGATTTTAACATAATTTAACACATGCCTGAACCGCTACATGTTGCATAAACTTTTGGAATCCCCGCGCCCGATCAACGAGGTTGACTTGGTCCTTCATAGGCCCTGAATGCACAGCCAGGTTTGTAGACATCCAGTCAGCCACTAGACTGGCTCCTATGGTATTCTGGTTCCTCAGGTGCAGGATCCGCTCCGTCCGTTTGCTGTGTTCATTCTGGACCGTCAAGTCGAGGAGCTTGCCTATTTGAGCTAGGTCCCTTGCAAGGGACAGGGAGTCGATCTCCCACTGAGCTTTTCTTGCGTCCCTCGTTAGGGACCCCACATGTTCATCAACTCCCTTGATCTTCTCTTCAATAACGTCGGCGGATGTTGGCTTCTCAGGAGCATGCTCGGTGAACATCGCTGAGCTCTTGAAATCGAAGGTATCGTCCAGGCAGACAAGGAATCGATCAAACTCAGTGTGAAAGTCCCTAGGTCATGGCACATGTAAGATCATCATCTAAGAATCTAAGTGCCAGCTATCATTGGTGCAGCAAAAGTCAAGGTAAAGTAAAAACAATAAATCACTGTCAACTCAACTCAGTTAGGATTCCCTTCTACCAACCGGCTCACAATCTTGCTCGTATCCGATTCCGTGAAAACCTTGTTGCCATCATCGTCCGACATACACTCCAAGGAGTTCAGGATGTAAGTGCCCAGTGCCATTTTGTCCATCTCAACGTCCCACTCTTGAACGGTGAGTCGTGTCACTGTCGATTTGCCAGAGCGGCGGAAGCAAATGTCGCGCAAGTACATGATCCGCCGCAAGAACAGCCATTGGTTGTTCTCGTTGACACTGAGGACGTTTGTCCAAAAATGACTGGATCGCACATTTGCGTCCAGTGACTGCCCGCCCAACAGCCACCGGGAGTTGAACATGATGGCATTGTTGAAGGCTGCAGGGGCCGAGGCTAAAAGGTTTGACACGTTGTTATAACAAATAATGATAAAATAGTTTCCTGGCTTTATTCTAGAAACCTGTAGGATAAGTGCCACACATACAAAAAAGTAAGCGAACAAACAAACTGGGTCGGATTTGGAGATACCTGCCTGACTGCTCCCACCGGTACATGTGGAGGTGAGTCTGGATGAGCTGCAGCGACTCTTCAGATAGACCGACCTGCAAGTCAGGGAAGCTCAGCCTATGGGGTGAAAATGGAGGGTATGATTTGGGATGATTTGACACGCCGGTCACCTTTTTCTTGAAGGCCCTGGTACTGAATTTAGCCTAGCTACATGGAGGCCATACACAAAGAGAGCTGTGCTGTCATCAATGCAGAGCTTGGAGTTATAGAGGCTCGCCCCAAAGGAGTTGAACTCTGCAGTAGCGTCCAAGAAAGCCTGCTTGAAGTTGCCATGGTACTTTGCAGGGTCCTCGAGAATGGGGAGAGGAATTGAAGATAACTCGAAGGATGATGGCCATTGAAAGCCAAACACGAGCAACGAGTGGTCAAACATGTTTCAGTGCTTCTACTGCCCCCTTACCATGATTGCCCTAAATGTCCTCCAAACACAGTTGGTTGGCCCTCGTTGTGAAGGTAAGCATCTTCTGAAGAACACTTTTGCGTTCCCTTTGCGCTTGTTGCTCGTGCGCTTGAAGACGTCGCCACATACAATCCGCATCCGGAGCTGACACAACCCGGCACACGATCTTTCTGATTGTTGCCAGCCACCTGGCGCACCGAACCCTGAAAACATACTGGGACCCCTGGGTCCAAAGTCCAAAGTCCCCTGGGGTCCAAAGTCCAAAGTTGCCGGAACACCCTGAAAGACAATGGTTTCATTGGACCCTTCAACCTGAAAGACAATGGTTTCATTGGATCCTTCACCCTGAAAGACAATGGTTTCATTGGAACCCTCACCTTGTGATTTGACTGGGGGGACCCTTAGTTAGATAAAAAGGGTCACCCTAGAAATCTCAAATTTCAAGATTTTCTAGGACGATGGTTTCAGTGGAACCATCACCCTAGGGCTGATGGTTTTGTGGCCCCAGGATATCATTCAATATTACAACAGACCTGTGCGCTAGATGGGGGATGTAATCATTGCCCTGGACTATACTCAATCAATATTTCAACATGGCCTGGAGATATTTCAACTCCCAGATCCCCGCCCGTTCCAGGACGTCCCAGGACGACGGTTTCAGTGGAACCATCACCCTGGCTGGACTGGATTTTTTGGTTCCCAAAAGGCGACCCTTTTTATAGTTGAAATATCAAAATTAGAAGTTGAAATATTGAGTTGCATTATTGATCATTGAGTTGTAAAAGCTTGCCGCCTGAGAAAGTCCAATCGGAACTCTTCAACCGACTCGATCGTGTCACGGAGGTTGGTGTAGCTGAAATAGATGGCCCACAGAATGATGGACAGCCGGCCCTTCCCCTTTGTCGCAGTGAGGCATCCAAAGGAAGCCTTGCTCCCTGCAGTATAGGGTTCATGCAGCACCTTGACTTCAATTATTTCTCTGTGACTTTCATAGCCCTGGAAGACTATGTCCTTGAGGTTCTTGAGCGGGAGGCCTTCCGCCGGTCGATCGTACCGGATGGCCAACGGGGAAGACTGTCAGGTCATCGCTAGCAGCCTTGGGAGATACCAATTGCGCTCGTTCATAAACAGGTATTATTTTAAAAGGTGGCAAGTGGTTCTAGAATGTTTTAGCTGCGGAGCAGGCAATGAATAAGAGTCGCAGGGAGCAATGCAAGAATCGTGTCCCATAAGCCATGTTTGCACAGGCTCATACTGATCTACCCGAAGCCCCTTGGCCATTTCCTCCACAGGGTGAGCACCATCCACGATGTTTGTATTCCTTAGGTAGCTGTTTGAAGAGAGAAGCTATCCCCTCAAAACATGAAAACTTGGAGGCATACATAGCCTACTGCTCAGACTAGTCTCAGAGCATATTCCCATACATACTCAGCCCATGGTCGGGATGGCTTCAATGACTTTGCGCAGCTGGTCGGTCCACCAGCGGCCCTCTTAGCTCCCATGACTAAGAAGAACCCAGCCCCAACTGAGTCCAGCCAGATCTCACTGCGAAGGGTTCAAAAATGGTCAAAAGTTCATGTGACTCTCAGGTTGAACTTGCACGGTCGGACACAGTCGGTCAACCTTTTTGACGGCCAAATGAATTCCGGTAGATCACAAAGTACATTCTAAGGTCTAATTGCTAGAAGGTGCAAGCATGATTGTTATACTACTCCTTGCACTCCAGCGCAAGGATAGCGACTGTCAAAATGGCAGCCACACAAGGAACTGACATTGAGTTTCCGGCCATCCAGGCTGCCTTGTCCCGCTTCACGTTCTCGATGCGAAGGCGTGGTGCGCCACATTTGCGACCCTGCTTTTCGGTTACAGGAAGCACGAGAGAGGAGAGCATTTCGTGGCCAGACAGGAACCTGCCGTGATCCTCACACCAAAAGTAAATGAACAGTCACTGACTGAACAAGTTGCTGAACACTAAAGGACAATCAAACATTTTAGAACCGTTGTCCTTTGAATATATCCTGGCAGAGTTTGTGGTTAGTGTTTGAAGAGATCCATCTTTGCAAGCGCCTCTTGCACGCCCGTTGCGTGCATATTGCAGCAAATCAGGACATTGGTGGGTGTCCTCTGGGTACTCCGCCAAGTTCTGTGCCTAAGTATATCTAAGTATTGAACATTTGTGGAAGGACTCGCAAGGACTATTATGTATTATTGCTGTGAATTGAAATTCAAACAGAATTGAAGTCAAAGTGCTAGGGCTGGGGTCAGCTGAGATTTTGGTAGTCCTTCATCCCACCAAAACATCCCTGCTGAACCAATGTTCTGCGGAGCCAAGCAACCTACTGTTTCCTCCAAAGACACGTCTGGTCGCCAACTAAGTGCGGTATGCAATCATGTAAAACCTGGACCGCGATGCAGGTATGCCGAAGATTCTTGGGTCCAAAATGCAGTGTTGTGCAGCCCATCCAGGACCCAACCGCCCGAGTGGGATGCTTGGAGGGTACTCCGGTACATTTTCAATGATCATTGCATCCCACAGCGATGAAGCATCATAGTATGCTTCATGAGTAGCAAAAACATCATCCGATACGCCTTTGCCTTTGCCCATGCGGCTGAAGCTGGTACACACTGGGCCTCACACGGAAGAGGATGACTTCAAGTTCAAAAATAAACGGGGTGGCCTCGATGAGATAAGGGCAAGACCTGCCACGTTGATCTTGATTCCTGGGCTGTTGTTTGGTTTTACATTGAACCAAGGGTTTGAAGCCTGGTATATAATGTTCCAAACATCAAATTCAAACCTGTTTGCAACAAAGGGTCTCTTCTTAAGACGATGTTTGCGTACCGGGCAGGCATCCATGTGTGCTACAGAAAGCAGTTTCCTTTTTAGCATCAAACTTGGTAATATTTGGCCGGTCGCAAAGGTTGCCGTAAGTTTTGCAAAGCACTTCTTGGCAGGGTCGTTCAATCTCACAAGTGAACTCATGTAGCACCTTCTCCCGAACCCCTGGCTTGTGGTTGCATTGCTGCAGGAACTTGGTGGCTGCTGAGGACAATGACTGCAAGGCCTCAAAGTTGATTGGTGGGTATAAATATATATCAAGGCCTCGCTTTACTGACTGATTGAGTTTTGGACTGATTCCGGCGCACCTACACCAGAGAAGCAAGTAGAGCAGGTCCGCCTCCAAGCCTCAAGACGTTTGCAAAGCCATGGCTGGCCATACCGCATAGAAAGACTTCGTAGAAAATTGGTTGGCCAGGAGTAGCAGGCATTGACGGTGGTGTAGCCCTTTGGGTGATTCTCCGAAACAGTAAACAAAGTGTTCTTGGGGCACTTCTTCCTGGCAACTCACTAGCTGAAGAGCAGAGCTGCTTATTTTGACTGTTGACAGGCCTCTTCAGTACGTGATTCTTCTTGACCTTTTTGTTTCCACCATCATTCCTGACACGTTATGTTCAAAAATATTGGCTACCAAATTGTTACCTACAAGTAGGTTTTAATGAAGGCACCTTGTAGGATGCGAGGCCACCAGCCTCGCTACGGCCGCCTTCAGGCCGATGAGCGCCATGCTTGCTTGGGCCACCCTATGCAAGTCTACAAGGCATGAATGGGAAAAAGAAAACAACGCCTGGCACAGATTGGATGCACTGCGAATAAGTACAGGCTCAATCCTTTTCTCAACCCTGTAAGTGTGGTGTGGTAACACCCCCAAAAGCCCCGGCAGCAAAGGAGTGTCTCCTCGCTGCTCTAGATTAAGTCTCACTCGGCCCACTGCCGCGATTGTTTGTCCTGGAGCACGATGCATTGACACGCTCAAAAATAAGCATCTTAAGGCAGAACTCCTTGCACGAATGAACAGCATCCACCAGCATCCACCT